CGGAAAAAGCGACTTAGGACCATTTTTCACACTTACGACCATTGCCAGCGTCCCCGTGGTCACATGGTCAAAATTCAGATGCTTGTCAGCTGGTTCCTATCTACGACGGTCATAATGCCCCGGGGTCACGTGATCAGCTTTTGCGACCTTCTGACAAGCAAAATCAATGGGGAAGCCAGATTCATTTTACAACCAGGTTACTAAGTTAACAACCGCAGCGATTCCCCTAACAACTGTGACAAGAATGGTCGCAGAAAAAAAATGGGGCAAAACTCACTTAACTAATGTCTTGTGTAGCAACATAAAATTTTGGGCTCTAAGTCGAGGACCACCTGTATGCCTGTTTTTTTTCCCCCCCCTCCCTTCGGTGAAAGGGTTTAGAAAGCCGACGATGGAGACTGAAGCTGTTTGTTCTCAGCACAGCCCTTCTCTGACGTGGTCCACCCCGCACCATTTATACACGTGGGGTATAAATATCCCTTGCGTAAACATCAATTGCGGTAACATGAATAAGCTTTCAACCCTCAAAGCTTCTGGCCAACATGCAAAACGAGAAGGATATTTTGCAATCCGCTGGCATTCTCTTCTGCGCACTGAAGCAGAGTACACAAGAGGTGGGTGGCCTTTGGGCCTGAAGCACTGGCTTAGTCTGGCTGCAAGACCTGGCCAGGGAAAGGTGAGGTAGTGCTCTGAACAGGTGGCAGGTAATTTAGAGAGAGAGAGAGAGAGTGGTCCACACTAACCAAGGAGAGAAGCAACCTAGAACCAAGGAGAAATTTCCTGACCGTTAGAACGATCAATCAGCGGAACAACTTGCCTCCAGAGGTTGTGGGTGCTCCAACACTGGAAGTTTTTAAGAAGAGACTAAAATGGTATAGGGCAGTGGTGGCGAACCTATGGCACGGGTGCCAGAGGCGGCACTCAGAGCCCTCAGGTTTAATCAGTCAATTTCAACTTCTTGTGGGGAAAAAAAAAGATCTTGCAAAGTTGGAATTGATTGATTGAACTTTTTAGTCCCACCCAGTCTGCCGTTACCACTGCAGCCACGCCCAGCCAATGGGCCACACCCACCCAATTGGCCACACCCAGCCAATGGGCCATGCCCACCCAATTGGCCATGTCCACCTGGCACCCGACGATGCATAAGTGGATTTTGGGTTGCAGTTTGGGCACTCGGTCTCTAAAAGGTTCGCCATCACTGCTATATACTATATACTTATCCTCTTTTAACTCCATGAAAGTGGCATTCAGGCAATGCTCACAATGTTGCTGGCTGCTCCATTCTAACCCCCCCCCTTCTCCCTGCCCGCCTGGATCTGAATGCCCTCCGCAGACGTTTTACGATACACAAGCTCTTTGAGTTGCAGGCCACCATTTTGCTTCAAATGTACAGGGAGCCCTCAATTTACGGCCACCACGGAGCCAAAGTCGATGTGAGAAATTTGTTAAGTGAGTTCGGGCCCCGTTTTACGACTTTTCCTGCTATGTTTGCTAAGGGAATCCGCTGCAGCAGTTAAATTAATAACCCGGCTGTAAAGTGAATCTGGCTTTCCCATTGATTTGTCAGAAGGTCACGTGATCCCCGGGACACTGTGAGTCAGCTGCCAAGCATCCAAATGTAAATCACGTGACCATGAGAGGTGCTGCAACGTGTGAAAAATGGTAAGTCACTTTTTTCAGCCGGCAGTGATAACTTTGAAGGGTCACTAAAAGCAAACTGTCCCCCTCTGCTTCTAAGGCAACGTGTGTGTGTATGTGTGTGTGTGTGTGTTTTAAAGGTACAGAATTAAAAAAAACCTTGCACATCAAATTAATTTTTAAAGGCCTGGCTTTTTACAGATTTCTGAAAGAGAGCAAGAGCAGAGGGCTTAGCCCAGTGACGGCGAACCTTTTAGAGACCAAGTGCCCAAACTGCAACCCAAAACCCACTTATGCATCGTCGGGTGCCGGGTGGGTGTGGCCCATTGGCTGGGTGTGGCCCATTGGGTGGGTGTGGCTGCGGTGGTAACGGCAGACTGGGTGGAACTAAAAAGTTCAATCAATCAATTCCAACTTTGCAAGATCTTTTTTTCCCGCGAGAAGTTGAAATTGACTGATTGATTGATCACTTTTTTTTTTTTTGCACACGGCGGCGGAGGCCTAAAGCGAAAAGGTTTTATAAATCCAGCTGAAGGCCTAGGACTGGGGCGAGGGCACGCGTGCCCACAGAGAGGGCTCTGAGTGCCGCCTCTGGCACCCGTGCCATAGGTTCGCCACCACTGGCTTAGCCCAACTCCTCAGGGGCTGCATTCCGGAGTCCGAGTGCGAAAGAGAAGACATTCACTGCAAAGCGAGGGCAAATCTATCCTGGAAAAATCAAAAAAGACGTTTGAAGCGCCCGCTCCCAAAAGCCAGTCCCTCCATGTGCTCGGCATCTGAGAGACTGCGCAACAAAAAAAACAGCGCCTTGAAATACTGTGGGAAATTGGTAGAAGGAACAGCAGCCCAGTTCAGTTGGTTTTCTAAAAAGGAGCTGTGAAAGAGTCTTCCTAGAGTCCTCGGCTTGCCATCAATTAATCAAGCCAGTTCAGTTGCCTTCTCAATAGAGCCTTTTAACAATAGTCCAGTAAATCAGAGGTCCCCAACCTTTTGGGCACCAGGGACCGGTTCTGTGTGCTGCCTGCATCCCATGGATGGATGGGGTTTTGCTTGTTTGTGCGGCCCGGTTGCTGGCATGCTGCGGCCCGGTACCGGTCCATGGACTGGGGGTTGGGGACTCCTGCAGTAAATGCTGGCTTAGGTACTTAAGGGAAGCCTCACAGCCACAACAAAAAGTCACCCACAGCACTAGACACCGCAAGAAGCAAGGAACCACCGGCCCACCAAAGGGGATGCAAATTATGCACTCAAGCACCAGAAAAAGTGGCTTTGTTTTTCTTTAAATTTGCTGTTAAGAGTCCAACATACCCCTTGGCCTTTGCACGCAGCAACTTTTGTGCAATGTGCAGGCAGTACACAACTCAGAAATGTGGTAGTAAATATGACTGGTGCACCCACTTAAGGCACACACAGATTCCGGAATTGAGTGCACCAAAAGGCCTAATTGCACCGAGGAGGAGCAAAATACTCTTTCCAGTTGCATCACCCGGCCTGCTTGTTAATTGCAACACTTCAAAGGCTCTTTCGGCCACTGAAAGCACAAGGACTCGTTATTCTCAGGCCGGCCGCACTGAAGCTGTGGGTGTGAACTGCAAACAAAACTTGTGAGGGAAAACAGGAGAGGCTTCCTGGGGTCTATATAAATAGAAAGCTCTTTCTTTCTTTCTTTCTTTCTTTCTTTCTTTCTTTCTTTCTTTCTTTCTTTCTTTCTTTCTTTCTCTTCTTTCTTTTTCTCTTTCCTTCCTTTCTCTCTTTCCTTCCTTTCTCTCTTTCTTTCCTCTCTCTTTCTTTTCTTTCTTTCTCTCTTTCTTTTTTCCTTTCTTCTATGCGCATTTCCCCTTGCTTAATTCACAGTGGCAGTCAGGAGCCCCCAAAGGTTTCTCACTTTTGCTTCTGCTCATAAAAAAAAAGTGCTAAGGAGCTGCTGCTGGAGGGGGGGGCAAGGGGGGGGGGAAAGAGGAGAGGACTTAGGAAAGAGATGGTTCACTTCCCAGAGCTCACCATTATCAAAGGCTCTCGGCTGCAGTCAAAGGCTGACTAAGGTTTCTGACCCTGTTTTTTGCGTCACCAAAGGATTCCACTGGATGTCTTTCTGGCCCAACTACAGTAGTGGCCCAAATTGTGGAAACCTTTGGGGAAAAGTGTACAGTAGAAATGCCACCTTTGGGTTAGGTTTCCACCCATTTTTCTTCTAATTTCTTTATAACTGTAGCCTTGTTCACTTAACAATACTATTTTACATCGCTTTCTGGGCGACCAGTCAACTCTTTGCACCGTTACTTTAATTTTATTACGTTTTACAAGCTCACTAAATGAAAGAACACAAAAATGAAAGAACACAAAAAAACTTGATAGCGATCACATAACACACTGACAAATGTCCTCCTCTCGGCTTCAATACATGACATCGATAACTGAATCCTACTGTGATCTGATTGGCTCATGGCCAAAACAAGGTGACACCTGATTGGCTCTCTAAACACTCATGCTCATTGGCTACAATCAGATGAAAGAGAGCTACCTGATCTCAACCTGAGCAAGTTGTGCTTCCTTTTTCTGGTTATTTGGCTATACCTTTTCATAGAATACCGTACAGATAACTGAACAAAATATGTTGCGTTACATTCTCGATTAAATTATCTTCCATTGATATATAATTTTATGGTACTACTCCCAAAAAAAAGTGGTGTTATTAGCCATCAAACTTCAAAAACACACTTTTCCCATAAGATTTCCATAATTTTGGCCACCACTGTACCTTGCAGGGGCCTGCCTGAGAAAATAAAACAAGGAGACCAACTCCTTGGTGAAAAGCGGCACACAGCTAGTCCTCGACTTACAACGGTTCATTTAGTGACCGTTCAAAATGACAGCACGGAAAAAAGTGACTCAGGGCCATTTTTCCACAACAATCGCTGTGGTATCCTCACGGTCACGTGATCGAAATTTGGACGCTGGGCAATTGGTTCATAGTTATGAGGGTCGCAGTGTCCTGGGGTGATGTGACCACTTTTATGGCGACCTTCTGACCGGCAAAATCAATGGGGAGGCCAGATTCACTTAACAACCGTGTGACTCATTTAACAACTGCGGCGGCAAGGAAGCTCGTCAAATGGGGCCAAACTCACTTAACCACCGTCTCGCTTAGCAACGGAAATTTGGGGGGATTTCCCCTGCAGTCGTAAGTCGAGGACTGCCTGTAAAGAAAAAAAGGAAACGGATGCCCAAATACGGTGCACGGCTTTCCCTGCATAACCTAAGGAAGAGCCACATCTAACACAACACAACAAAATCCAAACTTGCAAGCTTCAATTGCATCCCGGGCTCTGTGTGTGTGTGTGTGTGTGCAAATTTTGACTGACCTGTTTGAGCTGCTCATCCAGTCTCCACGTTGGTCTCCCAGAGGAGGGGCCGGAATAGAGCGAGTTGGGGGCTTCTCTCCCCACTTCGTCCTTTCCCTGGAGGTTCCGCTGGACCCCCAGAACTGGGAGAAGCTTAGAGGAAGGAGTCACTCTTTGGTTGTGGGAAACCACTTTGGAAGCGTGAAAGTATTTGAGAGCGGACCGCGCATCCTGGCCAGTTCTGGGAGCACTGTCCTCCAGATCACCATCTTCTGAATTTTCTTCACCTTCTTCTTCTTCCTCCTCTTCCTCCTCCTCTTCCTCCTCCTCCTCCTCTTCCTCTGAGTTCAGAGCACTCTGATCAAATGTCCGAGAAGCCCCCAGGACAGGGGGCACTCTAGCTGAAGGTCCGAGGATGGGCCCACCGGAAACTTTGCCGGATGTGGCAGCCAGGCCAGCTTGCTGGACCGTCATCTGTTGGGGGAACTGCAGCTGATTCTCTCTCACCTGCCTCTGGGGCCGGTCTCTGGACTCCATGGGCAGAGGGGCCACCTGCTGCTGCTGCTGCTTCTGCAGCTGTTCCACAACTGCCTCCAGCTTCATCCTGTTGTTAACATGGCTGGGTGGAGGAAGGAGTTCGGATGGACGCGGCTCCAGACAAAGCCTTCGCAGAATCTGAAACACAAATATTGGCCTGGAGAATTACTTCTTTTCCCCCCCTCCCCTCAGCCTGCTCCGAGGAGCCGCAAAAATGAAAGCAGACCGGGGAAAGCCCAGGCAAGAAGAGTTCACGTTTTTGCTGAATTCCGAGATTTCTTTGCAAAGGGAATGACTTCCTTGTATAAAACCCAGCCCAAATCAGCATCAGAAATGACTTTATCGTAGGTGGACACAAGACGCTTTCTGCCTCTCGCCCTGCCGTGTTTTCTTTGAAAACATCTTTGACACTTTCTCTTAATGCTATGCAAATAGTCGGTTCCTGTATAGTCCGAGCAGAATGGGATTACAGCCCAGGGAAGGGGAAAACAAAAAAGAACAAACTTCACCCCCCCCCCCCCCAATGTCCACCAATTGTTGTGCTGGCATTACACTCTAAGAAAGATATGCAGAAAAATCTTTACTCAGAAATGTCTTCTAGAGGCAACTTTCTTCCTTTGTTGCTTTGTTGCTGAGGAATTCTGGGAGTTGAAGTCCACAAGTCATCAAAGGGCCAAGTTTGAAGACCCCTGTTATAGAACCCAAGTACCAACAGAACGGGGGTCTTCAAACTTGGCCCTTGTATGACTTGTGGACTTCAACTCCCAGAATTCCTCAGCCAGCGTGCCTAGCTGAGGAATTCTGGGAGTTGAAGTCCACAAGCCATACAAGGGCCAAGTTTGAAGACCCCTGTTCTATACGCTGCTGTAATTCCAGGAGAACCGCTTAGAGAGGGCTGTAAAGCCCTATGAAGCAGTATAGAAGTCTAAGTGCAATTATTAGAATAAAAACGGGAGGTGGGGTGGCTGAATGCACACACAATATTCGACAGTCCAATTCAAGAAATTCAAGGAGAGAAGCAACCTAAAACTAAGGAGAAACTTCCTGACAGTTAGAACAATTAACCAGTGGAACAACCTGCCTCCAGAAGTGGTGAGTGCTCCAACAGTGGAAGTTTTTAAGAAGAGACTGGACAGCCATTTGTCTGAAATGATATAGGGTTTCCTGCCTGAGCAGGGGGTTGGACTAGATGACCTCCAAGGTCCCTTCCAACTTTATTATTATTATTATTATTATTATTATTATTATTATTATTATTATTATTATTATTATTACTATTACTATTATTATTACTATTATTATTACTATTATTATTATTATTATTATATCGGTGCAAATGAAGGACTACCTTTTACTTTTAACGGTGGCAAAAGCTGTTCTGGTCCATACATTGGGAGGTAGAAATCAACCCTAGAGGGAAAAAAATATAGGCGGTCCAATTGGGGCCCAAAGCGTCCAGTGCTAAAGCAAGACAGTTAAGTGAGTTTTGCGCCCACTTTGTGACCTTTCTTTGCCACTGTTGTTAAGCGAATCATGGGCAGTTATACCTAATAACATGGTTATTAAGTGAAGCTGGCTTCCCCGCTGACTTTGCCGGTCAGAAGATCCCCAAAAAGGGATCGCGTGACCCCGGGGGATGCTGCAACCGTCACAAATGCATGCCGGTTGCCAAGCGTCTGAATTTTGACCGTGCGATCACAGGGACGCTGCAACGGTCAAGGCGAAAAATGGGTCGCAAAGGGTCCCTTTTTCCGGGGCCGTTTGTCATTTCAGCCAGCAAACAAATGGATGTCCACCGAGGGCAACCTACAAGCGAATTTGCAGATCTCGAGGGGCTGGCAAGAAGTAACAAGCAAACTCTTGCAGCTGGCAATTATGAGATCAAGTGTCTGTCCGCCATCTTCCCCTCCCTTCCCCCCCCCTAAAAAAAAAAAAAAAAGCAATTGGGAGTTTCAGATGTAATAACAAGTGTTAATGAAACCGAGGCCTACTGTTTAAAGGCAAATATAAGGCCCCTGATATCCCCCACCCTCTGCCATCGCTGTGCTTTTTAGGGCACACCTTTCCCTTTGTCTGTGACTTCTGCCTTCCCGGTGATAAGTTTACTTTTCTTCCCTACCGTCCCAATTTTAATTTAGAAACACCACAGGGCACCACAGGTCCCGGTGAAGTGCCATCTGCAAGGAGATAATGAATAAGAGGATAATAAACAATGAATGAGCTTCGTGGTCAACGGATGAAAGGCAACCAGCCACACGATCATTAAGGGCGGAAATACATTGGGGGTGGGTGGGTGGGAATCGTTATTGGAGCAGAATTTCCCCGATGCGACGGAGAAACCCAAACTGCAAAGCAGGACGGAAGAATAATTCCCTGTATGTGTGTGTGTGTGTTTTTTTTTTGTTTGCTTTTGTTTCAGCTGCTCCTCTGCCAGCACAGAAACACTTAGCTCCACCCGAGATAAGATGCATAGCTTTAGCAAAACAGACCCTCCAAAAGAGCAATAGGATGTTTTGCTAAAATTAAATATGCCATCTCCGGCGGCAATAAAATCACCCCTCTGCTATTTTAAGAAAGACCGATTCATCAAGAATTTCCCGTGACTCTCTTGAATGTTCTGTGAAACTAGATTGGAAGGTCATAAGCAATCCTGTTAACACTGAGGCTGGTTCCCGATTTACAGTTGTTGTTTTTTTAAAAACTACAAAGGCAACTCAATGCATGCGGGAACGAAAAGTGTCCATCCCACCATTATTCTAACGGCCACAATGGTAACAGCTAGTAAAACTCTTTAGATCTACAACACTACTTGAAACATGCTTAAATTACAAGCAATCCCTCACTTATGACCATTAGTTTAGTGGCCATTTGAACTTATGATGGCACTGGAAAAAAAAACACCTTTAAACTAGTCCTCACACTTAAAACCACTACAGCATCCCCATGGTTACTAAGTGCCCAAAATGCAATTGTGTGAGCATCGTGCAAAGTCAAATAGCCCCACTCCCAAATGGTAGTTATGACAGATTTTGAAGTTCTGATGGTTGCAATTGGGGGTGGGGGTTGCAACCATCAGACTTTCAAAATCTGGTCATAACTATCTTTTGGGGGGGGAGCATTGTCACAACTTTGCACAATTGCTAAGTCACCAGTCATTCAGTGAGGGCTGCCTGTACATAAAACCACCTACAAAATAGCTACATTCCTGCACTCCAGATGCACATACATCGCGAGAGATAAACTAATTTCCAAAGAAAATCTATGAACACTTTCAAACCTCCTCTCATTCCAACTCAGGCAGCCTAAAGTGAGCTTCCTGGAAACCTCAATTGTGCAAGAAGTACATTTGCATATTAATAGGATTACGATAACATAGCCCCTCCCAGCGCTAAGACTGTCTTTGTGCATAATGATAACCCACAGCTGAGTGACATGATACAGGCTGGCTTTGAAAAATCCCAAAGGCCCAGATTAGCCACAGTTCTAAGTATGGACATAACTCAGACCAGCATTTAGTTAAAAGAAAAAAGAAAACAAATACAAAAACTCGTAGTCACATTTGGCAGGTAGGGGAACATGGAACTTGAAGGCTTGTCTCGTCTCAGCCTTGTGTCAACAATCCACAGCTTTTCAGTATGTCTGAATGTAACGGTCAGCTCTTTCATTATAACAGGTTGATAAAGTTATGATGGATAGGCGGAAAAAATAATATTTCTTCTTTTTTATATAGTGGGCAACTGAAAGGGACTTAATTAGCAGCAGGTTGAAAAGGCAATTATACAGTCCTTATTCTAAGCAGCGCTCAAGGTTAACTCCCCAAAAGACTAGGGAGGATCAGAGGGCGATGCTCTTCACTATATAAGCCATGACTAAAAGCACTGTATAAAGGAGGCAGTGTTTGCTGCCGTCAACAATTGTGGCCTATCAATTTGGTCTAGTGGTTAAGGCACCAGGTTAGAAACTGGGAGATAGCGAGTTCTAGTTTTGCCTTAGGCATGAAAGCTGGCTGGGTGACTTTGGGCCAATCACTAGGAGATGGTGAGTTCTAGCCCCGCCTTAGGCATGAAAGCCAGCTGGGTGACTTTGGGCCAATCACCAGGAGACGGTGAGTTCTAGTCCCGCCTTAGGCATGAAAGCCTGCTGGGTGACTTTGGGCCAATCACCAGGAGACGGTGAGTTCTAGTCCCGCCTTAACTTTGGGCCAGTCTCCCTCTCTCTCCACCCAACCAACCTCACAGGGTTGTTGTTGTGGGGGAAATAGGAGGAAAGTGCGTTGGATACGTTTGCTGCCTTGAGTTATTTGTGAAAATAATAAAGGCGGGATATAAATAAATGAATAGAATCTGGTGGGTTGAATTACACCTCCCACTGCAGCAAAGAGGGGACATGAGGGCAGGACAGCCCGGGAGCCCACAGCAACACCTCTGGTGGGCACCAGGCTGGGGAGAGCTGCAGACCCTCCCTCCCCCAAAACCTGGGGATGTCTAGTGCTCTGGACTACAACTCCCATCCTTTTCACACCACAGCAAAGAGAGCGGTCTGGCAAGGAGCACGGGAAGCCACTGCAACACCTCTGGTGGGCGCCAGGTTGGGGACAGCAGCAGCAGACACCCCCCCCAAACCTGCAGCTGTCTAGAGAGCTCTGGACTACAACTCCCATCACCTTCCCCACCGACATGGCACGGGTGCGGGGGGACGTATTGGTGGAGGGAAGAACGGGAACCTATTGCAACACCTCTGGTGGGCGCCAGGTTGGGGACAGCTGCAGCACGCACACACACACACACACACACACACACCACAAACCTAAGGCTACCTAGAGCTCTGACTACAACTCCCATCACCCCGCCCACCGACTCGGCCCGGGTGGGGGTAGGGAGATGTGCTGAGGCTGGGGGAGGGGAGAGCGGGAGCCGCTTGCAACGCGTCTGGCGGGCGCCAGGTTGGGGAAGGCGGCAGGCGAGCGCCCCGGGGCTTCCCGCCCGACAGCTCCGCGCCCTCCTCGAGAGGAAAGCCCGGCCCCGACCCCCCTCCTTCCTCGCCGTCCCTCACCTCGCCCTCTGCCGCCTCCTCCTCCTCCTCGTCCTCCGGCGGGGTCTCCTTCGCGACAGGCGCGGCGCCCGCCACAGCCACAGCCGCCTCAGCCGCGCCCCCTGCCCCCTCCCCCACCGGGCCGGAAAGAGGGGCCGGAGGAGGGGACTCTATGGGCCACGCGCCGGAAGAGGCGTCACCGGGCGGGCCCGGGCCCATCCGCCACTTCCGGTTCTGTTTTTTGGGGGGGGGTTTGGGGGGCCAGAAAGTCCAGGCTTTTGCGAGGGCGGTTTTTACTTGTGCCTTTTTAATAGGGCTGTATTGTACGGGCGAACGGGGTGCCGCTCTATCCCTTCTTGCCTCGATGCCCCTTTCTCCATAGAGATGTCAAAGATAGAGCGACGTTGTACTTTGCCTCCATGTGGAGGAAAAATGTTCAGGCCGGAAGTCGGGTTTTATAGTTGTTATTTTGATGTTGTTTAATCTCTATAGTTTGCGGAATAGGAGGAACTAAACAGACAGAACTAGGAGGAAAAAAAACGAGGGGAAGGGAAAGAACAAAAAACACAGCAGGGGCAACGCTGGGGAAACCATTCTTTCAACGGTTACTATAGCAACCGCGAAGCGGCAGGCCAAAGAAAGGGGTGGAGCAAAGGCAGCGCCATATTCTTCCGTTCCAGAAGAGGGCGGGCCTTCCACAGTGGACAGCCAATGGGAGCGCGCAGGAAATATAAATGCCTCCTGGCGGGAGAATATTGCAATTTACATCGGGAGGGGAAAAAAGGGGGGGGGGAGAGTCATGACGATGGCGCATGCGCATAGCAGCCCAGGTTCCCAAGTTTGGTGGAAACTTAATTTAGCGCCTTGACTTCGCTTAAAAATACTGTTGAAAGAAAAGTCTTCACCAGGGTCTAGTCCAAGCCGGGAATAAACAAAATGGAGACTGCTTTAGAAAGAAAGTTGTGGTTTATGGAAGAGCAGAGCCAGACAGGCCGCTCTGGGAAAGCTGACCACATGTAGCTGGGAATGGTGGGTTTTTATACCTTCTGGGGCTTTTGAGGTTGCTTCCTGTTCCTGGTTGAGGCTTTGTATTTCTTGTGTCGTGTTCTTTGACCTGAGTCTGAGTGTATTCTGATGGTGTGTATGTAGATTTTAGGGGTCTTTGTCTTCCTAACCTCATCAGCTTCTAGCTTCCTGGCTCCAGCTTTTCTGAAAGGATTATCACATCTGCATTTCTAAAAGCTGGCCTCTGCCTAGTTTCTGCTTGGGGGAGTGGAGCCGGTTTCTGCCTTTTTTAAAAAAAGATCTCCTCCGTTATTCCTTTGGGGAAATATATTCTGCCTTTCTAATACTCCCCAAAATATTTCTTTTTCTGGATTCTTCCCACGATACCATATGCTCAGTTGTATTTTTAGCCAACGCATTCAGCCCAACATTTCTTAAATTATAGTTTAGTCTTATGTGTTGTTGCATTGCTTCTCAGGGCAATTGGATTTCAAATCCGCCGAAATAATTTGCAATCTTATCAGCTTGCAAAAATAGAATAAAACACACATTGGAAATATTTAAATCAGTGTTTCTCAACCTTGACAATTTTAAGGCATGTGGACTTCAACTCCCAGAATTCCACAGCCAGCAATGCTGGCTGTGGAATTCTGGGAGTTGAAGTCCACATGCCATAAAATTGTCAAGGTTGAGAAACACTGATTTAAAGGATGAGGGAGAAAAAAGGTTAGGGAAACAAAGCCATTCATCCTGCACAGATAAGGGGAGAACACCTGAATTGTGCATAATTGGGTCAACCCAACTGCAAACGGTGAGATTTAATACTGTAAGGAAAATAATAGAAAATAGCATCGCCTGCTTGATTAAATTTTGTACTCAAGAGGACGAAGAAACATGTACCAGTGGAGAATAGTCTTCAAAGTTGACTTCTCACAACAGATGGTAGATGTCACTCTTGGGCTTGACTCATTCCATCTTGCCATGCTTTGTCGCCTCAAAAATATGTTTATACTAGCTGTGTTGCTTGCTGCAATCTATCAGCCTCATTGTAGCCATGCTCCATCCACTGCAGCATGGAGGTCTCTTCCGCCTGTTTCCAATCAATACGGTCCTGAGGTTTCTCTTGCCAGTTGAGCCCGCAATACTAGCTGATGTTGTTGATCCATTAGGTCAACAGACCATGAGAAAGTTGAATTCAGAGCAAAAGGCAAGGGTTTAGGAAGGAATTGGATTATCAGAACAAAGGAAGGAAGAACAGGATTATTATGTGATTTAACTTTAAAGCAATGGTTTAGTATGTTGTTGAAAAGTTATTTTCCTGCCTGCCATATCTTTTCTTTCTTTCTTTCTTTCTTTCTTTCTTTCTTTCTTTCTTTCTTTCTTTCTTTCTTTCTTTCTTTCTTTCTTTCTTTCTTTCTTTCTTTCTTTCTTTCTTTCTCCCTCCCTCCCTTCCTCCCTCCCTCCCTATTTTCGAGAAACTGCAAACACTTGATTTTAATAAATTTTTTATTTATGCCCGTAAGGAAATTAATCTTATGCAATCCACCAAATATATATATATATTTCTATGACATCTAAATCTCTATGACATCCCATGGTTTACATTATAGCACTCTCTGAAACTGAGTAAGCACCAGGAAATGTTCTTGAAATATACACAGAAGGATTTTTGGAATACATCCAAAGATATATTGCTCATAAATGCTCCTGTTTAGCCTTATTTGGTTATACTGCAGTTTTCCTCCTTACGGAATAGCTATGTTTTAATGATATTTACTTATTGCACAAGCAACCTATATTCACATTTGTTCACAGATACATCAAGTATAGGATCAAAGGGCAAAACGAGCAGGAAACTGATAAATACCAGTGGGGAAAAGTCAAAGGAAAGGAAAGGATTTGATCCTTGCTGAGACAATTGTGGAATTAATTGCCAAGTTAACCACCCTGCCTTGGGGTAAGTATAGACTTGATTTAAACCATCACTCTCCCTAAATGTTTTGCCCCTATTGGTTTGAATGCAGTTGCCAGTTGCGGATTAAGAGAAGCTGAGTTGTAACAGGATGTTAGATGAAAAGACCAAGAAATTATAATTTCTCTTCAAAGCTAGCTCAGAAGCTGCTGGCTTGGTGGTAGAACATCCCCTCTACATTCAAAAAGTTCTAGGTTTGAACCCTGCCCTTGTGAACAGCATCTAGAATGGGCTAGAAACAGGAATATGGAATGAAGGAATGAAGAGCAAGTAAGATGGGACACAGAGCCAAAACAGGACCAGACCAAAATGAGAACTGAATGAAGCTTGGGAAGACCTCGTAGTCCAACTAATGCTCCCCTAAAATAAGAGGTTGTTTAGGAAGCTCTTTTTAATGGTCCTCCAGAAGATTTTTCTATGAGAAGTTCCCCAGCCCTAATTTGTATATTCCTTACCAAAATCATCGTACATAATGTCACTGAACTTTAGCATATGTTTTGGGCTGCTGCAGAAAAGGTATTCAGGAATTGCGAAACTTCCTGACAGTTAGAACAATTAACCAGTGGAACAACCTGCCTCCAGAAGCGGTGAATGCTCCAACACTGGAAGTTTTTAAGAAGAGACTGGACAGCCATTTGTCTGAAATGGTATAGGGTTTCCTGCCTGAGCAGGGGGTTAGATTAGATGACCTCCAAGGTCCCTTCCAACTTTTATTATTATTATTATTATTAAATCCATTTCTTCCAGCCCTTGTCTCCTAAAAGTGCAAGTTACTCAGCTCTTAACTCTTATCTTTTTTTTTCTCATTTGAACATGGGAAAACGGAACGGTACAAAAAGAGAAAAGGTTACTTTAGGTCAACGTTTTGGCTTGTCGTGCCAAAAATTTGGAAAATGCCTTAACTTGCATGTCACTGACCCGCACCTCCAAGCAAAAGAGAAACAATTCCGTATATGTTCATTTTAAAAAAACAAAAAAACCCACAGTCCAATCATGTGTGGTGCTGTGTATTATATAAACAAACACCAAACAATTACAAAAATGAAATACAAGTAAACGCCCCTCCCTTCTGGCATTGATGACGCTACCTAGTGGGGTAATGAAACGTCTGCAGGAAATCAGCCAAGCTCAGAGAGCACCAAGGACCCCTCTTGTACTGACTTTGCAGGACACAGAGCCCATAGAAATAGTAAGTGTATCCTTAATGTCTCTGCCTGGTTCTCTCTTAGGTTTACCTACCAATGGCCAACCAAGAGATTACAGCCCTTGTGGTGGACAACAGCACTAGGAACTGCAGAGCAGGGTTTGCAGGAGAGGACCTGCCCCGAACAGTACTTCGTCCCGTCATAGGGAGGCCCAAGCAGCAGAGTGCAGTGGAAGACGCCACCGGAAAGGCCTATTATGTGGGAAGCGATGCTCAGAGCAGGAGAGACATCCTGACCTTGAAGTACCCCATTGAAAATGGCTTTATTACCAACTGGGATGACATGGAGAAAATCTGGCACCACGTTTTCCACAACGAGTTGCGGGTGGCTCCAGAGGACCGTCCAGTCTTGCTGTCCGAGCGTCCCGTGAACATTAGAAGCCACCGGGAGAAAATGACCCAGATTATGTTTGAGAGCTTCAATACATCCGCCTTCTACCTGCCCATCCAAGCCGTTCTCTCTCTCTATGCTTCCGGCCGCACCACTGGAGTAGTTCTGGATATCAAGAACGACCGGACGGATCCTGTCCCCGTCTACGAAGGCCACGCGGTCCACCGAGCTCTCCACCGCGCAGACCTGTGCGGCGAAGACCTGACCGACTTCCTCCTGCGGATGCTGAAGGACAGAGGCTACCACATCCAACCAGAAGCGAGGGAGACGGTGGAGGACATCAAGGAGAAGTTTTGCTACGTGGCCCTGGATTTTGAGAAAGAAATGGCCGCCGGTACGCCCGCCTCTCTGGAGAAGCAGTATGAGCTACCCGACGGGCAAGTGATCACCATCGGCAATGAGCGTTTCAGGTGCCCCGAAGGCCTCTTCCAAGCCGAACACGTGGGTAAAATATGTTGTCCTATCCACGAGAATGTCTTTAATGCCGTCATGAAGTGTGACCAGGACCTCCGCGGCACAATGTTTAAAAATGTCGTGCTGGCAGGTGGCACCTCCATGTTCCCTGGCTTTGCTGAAAGGTTGCAGCCGGAGGTGGTGGCACTGGCTGCCCGAAATACAGAGGTCAAGATCTTTGCCCCCTCAAATCGCACCTGCTCAGCATGGGTTGGGGGATCCCTCTTAGCTTCTCTTTCTCACTTTCAGCATATGTGCATCAGCAAACAGGAGTATGAGGAATTTGGCCCAGCTATTGTACACCGAAAGTGCTTTTGAGGGTTTTGGGGTTTTTTTGCTGCTTCCATTCACTATCCACATGTCGAAGTGGTATTAGAAGCAGAATAACAGAGTTGGAAGGGACCTTGGAGGTCTTCTAGTCCAACCCCCTGCTCAGGCAGGAAACCCTATACCAGTGGTGGCGAACCTATGGCATACGTGCCACAGGTGGCACGCAGAGCCTTCTGTGGGCACGCACGCCGTCACCCCAGTCCTAGGCCTTCAGCTGGCTTTTATAAAACCTTTTCGCTTTAGGCCTCCACCACCGTATGCAAAAAAAAAAAAAAGGTTCAATCAATCAATTTCAACTTCTCGCGGGGAAAAAAAAAGATCTCGCAAAGTTGGAATTGAACTTTTTAGTCCCACCCAGTCTGCCGTTAGTACGGCAGCTACGCCCACCCAATGGGCCATGCCCACCCGGCACCCGATGATACATAAGTGGGTTTTGGGTTGCAGTTTGGGCACTCGGTCTCTAAAAGGTTTGCCATCACTGCCCTATACCATTCCAGCCTCTGAAATGATGCCTGGCCTTTTTTTTTTATAGAATTGGCAACCTGCAAGGGAACGGTTGTTTTAATCCAGGCATGTCAAACTGCTGGCCCGCGGGCTGGATGCATCACACCAAAACCACGCCCACCCCACTGCCGGCAATGGGGGGGGAAGCCGCGATATGTCACGTGATGTTGCGAGTTTGACATGCCTGTTTTAAGCGGTCCCAGTTTGTAATTCACTTGGAATATTGACTCTATTGATCCTAAGGCACAAAGGATGGAAACTTTTTTTTTAAAAAAAAGAATAATCATCCTACTTGTAAGATCAGTATCTGAATCTGTAATTGATATTGCTAGAATATCTACTTTTTCTCTCTTATCTATATTCAGTTCTCTAAGGCATCTTATTAATTAGTACTCTATTATTAGAATCTAATTATATGCTATCGGCATTGCATTGAAAAAACATACCAAAATGGAGAAAATGGAGTGATGGATGGTATAAATAAATAAATCTAGCTGTTAATAAATGGATTGAGTTTTATGGATATATCTTTTTGCTTCCTCGAACGCCTCTCATTTAATTACTACTCTGTATATTCTTTACTGATTTTAATAGCCTTGTTATATTTATAGTTATTCTTCACCCTATTTTCTGGTGGCTATATGTCACCAATGCTATTTTTTTTTAAAGAAAAGAAAGCTAAAGAAAAGAGATTTTTGACTGGAGATGACAAATTGGGCTTTTCTTGCATCTACAAATTTGGCATGGTTGTGCCAGATACGGGTTTTTGTACTGTGGATTTTAAATAGGCGTGAGTTGGGCAATCCTATAAATTTTAACAAATGAATAATTGGTTCATGATCCTCCAGGAGAACAATCTTAAAGTATCTTTGTAAAACTTGTATGATTAAAAAAAAATAACTGGAAGAGTCTACAGACTTTGATATATTCTTTACGACTTGGTTTGTTTCTACTGGCTGTCAATATCAGTAAAACTGGCTGTTTTTTAAAATTAATGACAGTAAAAGGAAAGGGCCTCTCTCCTCCCAAATGGGCTGTGTGGTCCTACTGCACAGGGAATAAAAGGCTCCACGCCCCTTGCCTCTAAAGGGTGCAAACCTTTCACACAGTCTCTTGCGTGAAATACACGTATACTATAGCAAAGGATGCCCCTTGCTGGCTCTAGCACTTTTGAATCCCGCGCGCCCCTGAATCCCGCGCGCCCATTGGCCGCCTCCTCCCTCCCTCTCTTTCTCGATTGGCGAGGACGCGGAAGGCCGGGGCGTCACAATGCGCCCGCCTCGACTCCCAAGCCCCGCCTCCCTCAGGACTGCAGTTCCCAGCATCCCTTGATACGGAGGGCGGAGCTTCCGCTGCCGTTCGCCGCTGCCTCGCGGGCGGACGCTTCTTTTCCACTCGGCGCGGCTTGGCTCAGCAGGGAATGTGAGCACTCGTTGCGGCCGCCTACAATCCCCGGCATGCCTCGCGCGGGCTCGGGCAAGCGTTTCCGGTTGGAGCCGCCGGCTGGTCGTAAACATCCAGGTAAGGAGGAATAAAGGGTCTTAGTGGGGGAGGGGCCGGGTTGGGGTGGTATGGAGGGTCTGTTGGGGGGGGGCTCCCCTTTCCCTCCCCCCTTTTTTTCTCCCAGAAAGCATAGCAGTGAACCTCAGCGGGGTCATTACTCGCCTGGGCCACTGTCAGAAGGAATGCAGTACTGCCCAATGGGTAGAGCTGATGAGTGTGGCCTTATTTTTTTTGGGGGGGGGGAGGGAGACCCAACCCCTATCTTTGGTTTAACTCTTATTTTCCTGCATGGTTTACTCCGATCCTCTTCCAAGGCTTCAGTGGGCTCTCCACCCACCCCCCACCCCCACCTCCATTAATTTCTATCCTCATAACAACCCTGCGAGGTAGGCCAGCGCGTCCCAACTAGCTCCCTTTTGCCCTCGTGGAGTTGGCAGAAGCAGGACTAGTAATGAATGCATTGGAGTTAGTTTTAGGTGGGAGAGAGATGGCACTACACACACACACATACACACACACACATACAGCCAGAGTTCGAAACATTTATCATGGTAAGATAAGATAGATGGATGTTGTAGATTAATGGGTGCTGTAAATAGATGATAGATAGATGATGGATGCTATAGTTTGATTGATCAATTGGTATTTAGATGATAAATGTGGATGGATGGATAAATGGATGCTGTGTATAGATGATCGATAAGTAGATGGAAGATGGATGTGTAGATGGGTGGATGGAAAGGGATAGATGGATGGATGGATAGATAGATAAATAGGTAGATTGATAGATTGATAGATGAATAATTACATGGATGATGCTGTAGATAGATGATGGATGGATGGATGGATAGATAGATAGATAGATAGATAGATAGATAGATAGATAGATGCTGTAGATAGGTAGATAAGCTAGATAAGATAGAAGATGGATAAATGGATGGATGCTGTGTATAGATAATAGACAGGTAGATGGAAGATGGATGATGTAGATGGGTGGATGAACAGGTGGATTGATGGGATGGATGGATAGATGGGTAGATAGATAGATAGATAGATAGATAGATAGATAGATGCTATAGATTGATCAATTGGTAGATAGATGATAGAAGATGAATAATGTAGATGGATGCTGTAGATAGGTAGATAAGATAGATAAGACAGAAGCGGGATAAATGGATGGATGCTGTGTATAGATGATAGATAGACAGATGGAAGATGGATGATGTAGATAGATGGATGCTCTTGTTTCTGACAGAGTTTCTTTTCCAGATTCTGCTTGGAGTTCAGATTGGGACCTCGGAGAATCGAATCACCCCAGCCCCACCATGTCTCTCTCGGAGTGTTACATCGCGGTGAAGCTAGCCGACCAACCCCTGGCTCCCAAATCCATCTTGCGTCTGCCGGAAAGCGAGCTGGGCGAGTGCCCGCTGGGGGGTTGCAGCATCTCATACCTGAAACAGCTCATAACGGGAAAGTTACAGGAGTCCATCCCTGACCCAGAGTTCATTGGTAAGCTGGTACAACGTGGTTTTATCAGAGACCCAGGTGGCTCCCCCAGGCTGAGCTTGATGGCCTTGGGAAAGATTGTTAGGCCATTAAGATGCATGGACTTCAACTCCCAGAATCCTCCAGCCAGCTCCTTGATTTTTTATTTTTTTTAAATTTGGGCCTTGGATCAAACCGGAGATGCAATGATGTCAAATATAGGTAATCCTTGACTTACGGCCGCAATTGAACCCAACATTTCTGCTGCTAAGCAGGACAATTGTGGTGAGTTTTATTCCATTTTTTTTGCCACCGTTGTTAAATGAATCACTTCAGTTGTTAAGTTGGTAACACAGTTGTTAAATGGCTTCCCCATGGACGTGGCTTGTCAGAAGGTTGCAAAAGGGGATCACACGACATCCCCCAGGATCAACGCAACTGTCGTAAATATGAGTCAGTCGCAAAGCGACTGGATTTTGATCATGTAACCACGGGGATGCTGCCACGGTCGTAAGTGTGAAAAATGGTCCTAAGTCACTTTTTTCAGGCTGTTTGTAACTTCCAATGGTCACTAAACAACTGTATGTTAAGGATTATCTCTAATGCTCTTTCACTCCGTTCTAAATCTTTTTACTGGCCTTATTAAATACGGGGAGTGTTTATGACTAGGACAGGGGTAGGCAACCTTGGCTCTTTTATGACTCGTGGACTTCAACTCCCAGAATTGGGAGTTCCTGGCTCAGGAATTCTGGGAGTTGAAGTCCACGAGTCATAAAAGAGCCGAGGTTGCCTACCCCTGGATTAGGACATAGCATAGCTGGCTCAGGAATTCTGGGAGTTGAAGTCCACGAGTCATAAAAGAGTCAAGGTTGCCTGCCCCTGGATTAGGACATAGCATAGCTGGCTCAGGAATTCTGGGAGTTGAAGTCCATGAGTCATAAAAGAGCCGAGGTTGCCTACCCCTAGACTAGGATCCATCAAGTGTGTGGTCAGCCAGATTTGGTGGGGGGTTCAATATAAGTCTTGGCTGCCTTTCAGATCTGATCTATTGCGGGCGTAAACTGCGGGACGAACAAACCCTCGAATTCTACGGGATTCAATCTGGCTCCACCATCCACGTTCTCCGAAAATCCTGGCCCGAACCGGAACAGAAACCAGGTAAGTTCTCCGCTTTGAATCTGAAGCTGCTTCCCGGTTCCTTTGTTATTCCTTTATTGGCAAAAAAAAAAAAGCCAAGCGTTGAAATGGCGACAACCTTAGGAACAGTGACTTCGTTGCTGCATCGGGATCCCACAACCCAAACAGGTTTTTAGGAGAGGCTGGGTGGCCACGTGCATGCTTATAACCACAAGAGAAACCCACGTCGCCTGGAATCTGGACAGCAGGTCAGTTTTTGCAGTACGACGTACAAAGATAATTGAGTCTGGAATTACGGTCATAAAACGTGTCGGGTCGTCAAGCAGGTTCCCAGGCAACCGCACCCAATTTTACAACTTTGGGGGGAAGGTGGTCGTTAAACGAACACCACAGTTATTGAGGAACATGGCAACTGTTAAGCAAATCCGTTATATGCCATGGGCGTTTTTTTGACGGAAAATTGGAAGCAAAGACCAGAAACAGCTAAAAATAAATAAATCACAGACACAATGACAGCGGGATGCGGCAAATGGTTGCCAGGCGCCCAAAATATAATTATGTGGCCACTGTTGGAACTCTGGAACTGGGAGGGAAAGTATGCTTTTGTGTGGGGGGGTGTCTGTCATAACTTCGGATGGTTGCTAAGCCACCGGTCGTTCAAGCGAGGACTGCCTTTATTACATTTCTTCCGATGGTGGAATCCCTGGCAATTCAGTTCTGCGAAGGTTCGTTCCGTGTTGCTTTTTCGAGAGTTACCATGGCCGGTCTCTGCTGCCTTGTCTCTTCCACAGAGCCAGTGGATAAAATGGCCGCCGTGCGGGAGTTCCGCGTCTTACACACCGCGCTGCACAGCAGCCCCGTCTTCAGGGATTCGGTGAGCCTCAAAACTCTGCTTTTCTTTCTGTGTTTTTTATTTGGCTTCCCGAGGGTCTGGGGTCCAGTCTGGTGGTTCCTAGCGTGGCCTAGCTCAGGGGTCCCCAACCCCCGGTCCATGGACCGGTACCGGGCCACGGCATGCCAGCAACCAGTCCACGCAAACAAGCAAAGCCCCATTTGCAGGATGCAGGTGGCACACAAAACCACGCGCCTTCCAGTCTGAGGAAAAATCTCTCTCCACGTAACCGGTCCCTGGTGCCCAAAAGGTTGGGGACCTCTGGCCTAGCTGAATCTCCCTGGGTTTTCCACGCAGGTTTTCAAGATGCTGGGCAATAAGGAGTCTCTGGATCAGATCATTGTCGCTACCCCAGGCCTCAGCAGTGATCCGATCGCTTTGGGTGAGTCGTAGACCCAAAATTGGGTTAGGTTGTAGTCTGGGGTGTTAGAGCCGGATTGTAACTCCTCGGCCAAATGCTGAAGCTTTCTCCATGAGAATTATGAGTACACACCATCAAGAGAGCGACCTGGATAATTTTCCTAAATTGGATTTCTAAAAGAGCCTTATTAAAGGCTTGAAGAATTGTATGAGGTGGGACAAAGAAAAAAAACTGAAAATGAAAATGAAAATGATGAACATTAAAACCTCGCCTGTGCATCCTAAAGATGGGAAGAAAAACGAGTAGCAGGAAAGGTCAGCCTTTTAATCAGGTCTTATCTTCAACTCCAGAGAGGATGGTTTGGTTTTTCAGCTTCCTTATTTTTCAGTAGATATAAGATTGTCTGCCATTTGCTCATTAGTGATCTCGCTCTCTTTATCTCACAGGGGTCCTGCAAGATAAAGACCTGTTCTCTGTTTTTGCTGACCCAGCCATGCTGGACACGTAAGTTTGCTACAGGGGCTTTAAAAAAAAATAATCATTATGCTGTTCTATTTATTTATTTATTTGTAAAATTTATTATTTTCCCATCTTCCCATATGGTAACTCTGGGTGGCTTACAATATTAAAAGAGAAAACTGTATAATAGGTAGGTAGGTAGGTAGATAGAGACAGATAGATATAGATACAGAGATAGACCGATAGATAAATGATAGATAGGATGATAGATAGGTAGGTAGGTAGATAGGTGGGTAGATCGATAGGTGGGTAGACAGACAGACAGATAGAGACAGATATAGATACACAGATAGAGCGATAGAGAGATAGATGGTAGATGGGTAGATAAGTGGGTAGACAGACAGATAGAGAGATAGATGATAGGGATGATACATAGGTAGATAGGTGGTTAGATAGATAGGTGGTTAGAAAGATAGGTGAGTAGACAAACAGACAAAAAACTGTATAATAGGTAGGTAGGTAGGTAGATAGATAGAGACAGATAGATATAGATACAGAGATAGACCGATAGAGAGATAGATGATAGATAGGTGGGTAGACAGACAGACAGATAGATAACCTTTATTGTGATTTTTTACTGTGGGCACAATGGAATACATTAAAAATGAAATTTAGTTGCTCTCAAAATGTACACATAACACATTTAAACATACTATATACAACTTATGTATAGACCTACAGCCTTACATATAAGTAACATTAATCACTGTCCATCTTGAATACATAATGGGAGGAAGCCTGAGAGTTCACAAGGTTAATAAGTTAATAATAAGATAAATACAGGTAGTCCTCGTGTTACGACCGCAACTGGCCCGTTTTACGACCTTGCTTGCCACAGTTGATAAGTCAGTAACCCAGTTGTTCCCCCACCCATTGACTTTGCTTGTCAGAAGGTCACAAAAGGGGATCACAGGATGCTGCAACGGTTGTTAAATGTGAAAAACGATCACAAGTTGCTTTTCCCAGTGCTGTTGTGACTTTGAATGGTCACTCAACGAATGGGTGTCAGTTGGGGACTTGCACTGTATTCTGGAAATCCAGCAGATTTTAGGCTGAGAGACCCGACTGGGTGAGCTTTGAGGCCATCCAACTCTATGGTTCAGCGCCTCTCTAGCCCTCCTCCCCGGTTCGTTCTCGCTGCTTTTCCTAGACTCATCCCAAGCCATCCCGCCTTGGTGAATGCCATCGTCCTGGTCCTTCATTCTGTGGCAGGCAGTGCCCCGTTGCCCACCGCAGAGACCTCCTCGCGCAGCAGCATGCCTTCCAGCTCCTACCGAGACATGCCGGGTAAGGAACATGCTACGGCACAGAGCAGAAATTGCCGGATTTAACACTTGGGGCTACATGTGGTCCTCACTGCCTGAAGTGACGGTGGCGTTGAATGAATGGTGGCTTATGCCTGGTCACTGAAATTACAGCCCTTGGCCATTGGAGTCTGGTGGGAGAGGCCTGGCTTTGGGACGAGGTTCAAAGTGGCTTCTTTCTCTCTCCCTCTTTTGTCCAGGAGGGTTCCTGTTTGAAGGTCTCTCTGATGATGAAGATGACTTCCATCAGGTAACGTGAGAAGATGGGTGGGCGTCTCTGAGAAGGGAACGCCAAAGCATGAAGAGAATAGAGAACAGAGAATAGAGACCAGAATAGAATGTAGAATGTAGAATAGAATAGAATAGAATATAAAATGGAATATAAAATGGAATAAAATATAAAATGGAATAGAATGTAGAATGTAGAATAGAATATAGAATAGAATAGAATAGAATTAGAGGAGAGGAGAGGAGAATAGAATAGAATAGAACAGAACAGAACAGAACAGAATAGAATAGAATAGAATAGAATAGAATTAGAGTAGAATAGATTTAGAGTAGAGTAGAATAGAATATAAAATAGAATATAAAATGGAATATAAAATGGAATAGAATATAGAATGTAGAATAGAATTGAATAGAACAGAATAGAATAGAATTACAGAATAGAATAGAATAGAATAGAATAGAATAGAATAGAATAGAATAGAATAGAATAGAATAGAATAGAATAGAATATTTGGCCAAGTGTGATTAGACACACGGAATTTGTCTCCGGTGCAGAAGCTCTCAGCATACATGCAATGCAACAGAATAATGATCATCATCATCACAGTCATAATACTAATAAGAGGGGGGAGCAAAGAATATAATAAGTATAAATAATACTACAGCCACGCTGCATGGGTTAATAGACATTAGGCAGCACTGTGAGACTCGGGTGTGCAGCAGAGTGAAGGCACGAGGGAAAAACCCATCCCTGTGTCCAGTTGTTTTGGCACGCAATGCCCTGTTGCACCGTCCAGAGGGGAGGAGTTGAAACACTTTATGTCCAGGATGTGGGGGGTCTGTAGCTATTTTCTCAGCCCTCCGACTCGTGCAGTATACAGGACCTCTATGAGTTTAGAAGGCACTGATCTGTACCTTTCTCAGATCTTCTCTTGGCAGCAATACGGGATTATTCTTCCGAGTTTAAAATGTGGCTTTGAAAAACTCTGGAGCTCTCAGCAGCTTCATCTTATCCTGGGTCGGAATGGGGAGTAAGGATTTTTTTTTTTAATCCAAGCCTTGTTCTGAGTGAGGCCTCTTCTCTCCCGACAGAGCACAAGGACCACCCCATCCAGTAGCACCTCTGGATCCCGGCCAGCATCTCTTGGCTACACAGGCGCAGCGGGGCCTCGGCCCATCACTCAGAGCGAGTTGGCCACCGCCCTTGCCCTGGCCAGCACCCCGGAGAGCAGCTCACATACCCCAACGCCTGGAACCCAGGTCAGCGGGATGCAGGTCTACTCCCTCTTGAGAGGTGACAGTGGGAAAGACTTGGTCTAAAGCAGGGGTCTTCAAACGTGGCCCTTTTATGACTTGTGGACTTCAACTCCCAGAATTCCTCAGCCAGGCACGCGTGCCTGGCTGAGGAATTCTGGGAGTTGAAGTCCACAAGTCATAAAAGGGCCACGTTTGAAGACCCCTGGTCTAGGCTCATCTCTTAAGTTAATTCAGGGTATACTGTTACATGGGGAGACATCTTCAATTAAAAAAAAGCACAAAGAAAAACATTTTTACTGTTATTTCGTACCTGCCTCTGTCTGTAGAAAACTGGATTCCCTTTCAGTGAATTTGGGGAAACCAAGAGTGGAGTAGTTAAAAAAAAAAAAAAGAGAGGCTCAAACTGCAGCCACAACCACAAATCAGAACTTTTTTGCAACATGCATTGATTGATCGAGACCAGGGGTCTTCAAACTTGGCCCTTTGATGCGCCGTGGCCTAAAGCAATGTTTCTCAGACTTGGCCACTTTAACTCCCAGAATTCAACTCCCAGAATTCCCCAGCCAGTCTGGACTTCAACTCCCAGAATTCCCCAGCCAGTCTGGGGGTTGCAGGCCCTGCAGTCCGATATCTCTGGAGGGCACCGGGTTGAGGAATTGTTGATATTAGTCCAGCGCCGATTTCAAAAACGGCTTGGAAGAAGAGCTTTGGGTTTCTGCAAGCGTCTTCTTTTCAGGCATGATCACATTTATATAAAAAAGGAAGGCATGCTGCATCTGCTTTAATGAGCGGAATCATTAAAGCAGCACGTCTTTAGCGTGTCTCTGAAAGCAGCGGCAACTTTAGGCTGTCAGGAAAGCCTGAAGAAAAAAGAAAACTTGGATAAATCTGTGGATAAGCCTTTTCTTATTCTGAGGCATGCAAGGAGTCTCATGTAGTTTCTTGATAAAAAAAAACACATCTTCCTGAGTTATGAATGTTGTTACACGTCGCCTTCCTTCGTGCTAAGCTGGCTGGTAAGCCAGGAATGGGCCTGGCAAGCGTAGGAAGGCGTGGTCTACTCTTGATTGACAGTTTCTGCCTTTTCAGGGACATTCATCCGGCACATCTCCCATGTCCTCCAGCGTGCAGTCGGGAACACCCATCACCAATGACCTCTTCAGCCAGGCCTTGCAGCACGCCCTCCAGGCATCAGGACAGCCTAACCTTCAGGTCTGTAAACCTCAAGAAGCTGGGATGGTTCATTCATTCATTTATTCATTCATTCTCACCAGGTCCTAAATGGTAAAGTTGGAAGGGACCTTGGAGGTCATCTAGTCCAACCCCCTGCTCAGGCAGGAAACCCTATACCATTTTGGACAAATGGCTGTCCAGTTTCTTCTTAAAAACTTCCAGTGTTGGAGCATTCACAACTTCTGGAGGCAGGTTGTTCCGCTGGTTAATTGTTCTCACTGTCAGGAAGTTTCTCCTTAGTTCTGGGTTGCTTCTCTCCTTGATAAGTTTCCATCCGTTGCTTCTTCTTGTCCTGCCTTCGGGTGCTTTGGAGAATAGCTTGACTGCCTCTTCTTTGGGGCAGCCCCTGAGATATTGGAACACTGCTATCATGTCCCCCCTCGTCCTTCTCATTCATGTCCTTGCATTTGGGTTCAGCCCTCCAATGGTCTAAATTGGGAAACTGGGGGCATCCTAGACCACCAAGCTAAATCTCAAAACTGCCGGGAACACCTGGAAGCTTGGCATTCATACAAATCAGCCACCCACAGACACACAGAGACAAACCACATTTTCACCCCATTCAAAAGAGGCAAAAGAAAAAAGCTAAGAAGGAAACCAAAAGAGAAGAACGCACCCTCTTCAGTAGCTGACACTCAGATAAGCAGGGATTAACACCAGACAAACTTATCAAATAGAAAAAAAAACCCCACCCTAATCAGGAAACTACCAAGGGGAAAACCCCCATCACCCCCACCAACATTATCAGGGCACCTTCCCTGTACACAAACAGGGAGTAGACCCCACACTCCCTCACACTGATGGTGATACTTAGCTGGGTAATGAAACATCTGCAAGGAGACCATCGAGAGCCGCAAGGACTCCGCGGTTGTCTAAAGTACCCAGTTCTGCTGGCCTCTTCCCAGCACCCCAGAGAGACAGGTGAGGCTCAGCAGTGATGGGAGCGAGAGAGACTCGAATCTTGCACCAGGGCCCGGCTATTTCTGTATCGGTGACGTTGATTGACCTGCTGTCCCTTCCTTTGTTCGCTTTCCCCTTGCAGAGCCAGTGGCAGCCCCAGCTGCAGCAGCTGCGAGACATGGGCATCCATGACGACGAGCTGAGCCTCCGCGCCCTGCAGGCCACCGGGGGGGACATCCAGGCTGCCCTGGAGCTCATCTTTGCAGGAGGAGCCCCTTAACCTCCGCCAGGCCTCCGATCCCGTAGGAGGTGACGCGACGCATGCGATCTCTGCACCCCCAAGCCGGCCCTTCGACGCATGTGGGTCCCCCCACCCCCATTCCTCGGTGTGTTCCTTCTCCCTTTGCATTGCGGGGTCCCAGAATGTTGTGTCCCATCTCCTTCTCCTTGACTCCAAACGAGGACCCTTTCAACAGGAGCTCTGAACATCGGACTGCAGTTTGGCAAAACGGCTGCCTTAAGACGGGAACGTTCCAGGATCTGGATGTTATTGCCTGCTCCAGAAATGACTCAGCTCTGCCCCATCCCTAAAAGGGCTCCTTGATCATTTGAAGAATGCACTCATTTCCCTCTCTTCCTTGTGGTGGTTTTTCTTCCTGCCCTGGCCAAGCTTCCCAAGTGGCTTGCTGGACTCTTAAACTGTGTCATTAAATCTGGTTTCCTCCAAATAATCTCTTGCTTGCTTCTTGCTGCTGCTGCTGCTGCTGCTTAGGTTATTACAGCAGCTAATCCTTGACTCAACCACCATTTGTTTAGTTTTTAGTTCCAAGTTGGAACTGCCTTGAAAAAAAAAGTGATTTACAACTGGTCTTCCTACTTAACCACGGTTGCAGCATCTCCCACCGTCACTTGATCAGAATTTGGGCACTTGGGAACTGGCATGGATTTACCATGGTTGCAACGTCTTGTGGGGTGGTGTCACGTGATCCCCATTTGTGACCGTCCCAGCCGGCTTCTGCCAAGCAAACTCATTGGGGGGGATTTGGATTTGCTTAATGACCACATGATTCCCATAGCACGTCAAAAAAAAAAAAGGCATAAAATTGGGCACGACCTCTTCGCTTAGCGATGGAAATTCTAATCCCAATTTTGGTCGTAAGTCCTTAGTCCAGTGATGGCAAACCTTTTAGAGACTGAGTGGCCAAACTGCAACCCAAACCCCACTTATTTATCACCGGGTGCCAGGTGGGCGTGGCCCACTGGATGGGCGTGGCTGTGGTGGTCATGGCAGATTGGGTGGGTGTGGCCAAGGTGGGTGTGATCACCTCGATGTTGCTTGTGGGGAGGGACGTCTGTGGGGGCCGGGCAGGGTTGGGGGAGATCCAGGGGGTCTCTGGCAGGTGGGGTGGTGGGCAGGAGGCTCATCCTGCGGGGTGAGGCAAGGCACGGCGGGTGTGCCATTGTCACAGGGCAAGGTGAGGCAGGGGCCGGGGCGGCTGCTGCCTGACACCATCGCCCTCCACACACACAGGCCAGCGGGCGCATGGGTGCTGGGATGCATCCGGCCATGTGGGACCTCGGCCAGTTAGCAGGCGGCTGGTTGAAGAGGGCATGGTGTGCGTGCCCACAGAGAGGGCTCTGAGTGCCGCCTCTGGCATGCGTGCCAAAGGTTCGCCACCACTGCCTTAGCCTGTACTTGAGGCCCATGAGATGCGATTAAGGGACATAAAAGATTTTTGAATCCTATGTCAAACAACTGCATTTTATTTTTCAAGATTGCTTATAGTTTTCTCACTTGGGCCGTTAGAATCCCGGCTTGTTAGAAAGTCAAGGGCAGATGGCGCTCACCCAGTCGCACGCTGCCCGCCATCTTAAGACGTAAAAAGGAATTCTTTTTTGCTTCTGTTAACTTTTCCCCCTGTTAATTTTTATGTCCTTGTGCAAACTTTGGAGTTTCCAAATTCGGCTGGAAGCTCGGTGTGATCTAAGATTAGTCCCTTTGGGGATACATCTACGAATCTGGGCTTGAGATAGTGGAGTGTCGTTAATTTGACAGCCAGTTCGGTGTAGTGGTTAAGGCAGCGGGCTAGAAACCAGGTTGTGAGTTCTAGTCCCATCTTAGCCACAAAACCAGCTGGGTGACCTTGGACCAGCCCCTTTTTCTGAGCTCCAGGAAGGAGACAATGTCAAACCACTTTGGAAAAACCTTGCCAAGAAAACTGCAAGGATTTTTCCGAATGGACTTGGAGAAACCATTCAATAGAAGGAAAAAATAATAATAAATAACCTTTTTGGACAGCAGAGAGCGCTGTTTCTCCATCACCAATGCAGCTCCACCTAAAGATTTCAAGCCAACTTTCCTTAGAAAAGAGATTCGGGAAGAGAAATTCTCCTTTCTCCCCCCTTAATTTTTTTTAAAAAATCTGCTGGATTCCTGCCTCAGTGACCTTTTGGAGCATTTTTCAGGCAGCGGATCCTTGGGGTGGAACCAGAATCGCTGCTTTGACCACCAGGAATGAAAGAATTCTTTCAGTAAGTGAAAAGTGCATTGTGCCACGTTGGAGAAGTAGGAATCGCGAGAGATTTTCCAGAAATTCCGAAAACATCCTTTCTCAGGAGTAGGATGGACCAGAATTGAATGCTTTTACAGCTAGTCCCCTCTTAAGGACTAGTCGCTTAGTGAACTCACAACAGACCCTCTACCTGCTAAAAATACTTCTTAATTAGTTCTGCAGCATTCTGTGGTCCCATGGCAGTAATTTGTGAGGTCTTTTTGCCAGATTGTGGTCATGTTTGGCTTAGCAAAGGAAATTCTGATTGTAAGTCAAGGGTTACCCACAGTTCTACTCAACGCTCTTTTTAAATGGAATGTAAAGAATCTAACCTTTCCAGCATCTCATGTTTAAAAAGCCTGGTTTGCATTCTTCAATAGTTGGGTTAAAGGCCAACTTGTGTTTGGGGGGGCCCTTGGTGCTCTCTGAGCTTGGTGGTTTTCTTGCAGTTGTTTATTTGGCTGTTTTCTTGCAGACATTTCATTACCCAAACTAGGCAACAGCACTGATGATGTTACCTAATTGGGTCAAGAAACGTCTGCAAGGAAACAATCAAGTTCAGAGAGCATCAAGCACCGCACAGTTGTTGTTGTCGTCGTCATCGTCATCATCGTCGTCGTCGTCCTCCTCCTCCTCCTCCTCCTCCTCCTTTTCCTCCTCCATTGCATTCTATTACTGATGATGTTACCTAGTTGGGTCAAGAAACGTCTTCAAGAAAACAATCAAGTTCAGAGAGCATCAAGTACCCCACAGTTGTCCTCCTCCTCCTCCTCCTCCTCCTCCTCCTCCTCCTCCTCTCCTTCCTCCATTCCGTTCTATTACTGATGATGTTACCTAGTTGGGTCAAGAAACGTCTGCAAGAAAACAATCAAGTTCAGAGAGCATCAAGTACCTCACAGTTCTCCTCCTCCTCCTCCTCCTTTCCTTCCTCCATTCCGTTCTATTACTGATGATGCTACCTAGTTAGGTCAAGAAACGTCTGCAAAAAAACCACCCAGCTCAAAGAGCACCAAGGAGCCCTCATTTCGACCCCGAACTACAAATATTATTGAAACTTGTGTTTTTATCAGACTGGATTAGAGTCTCGGGCTGAGGGCCTTCCCCACCTCCAGAAGCCCCCTACTCAACCCCTCACAAGTGGTGGAAGACCTGCAAGCGGGCTCACCTTTACCCACCATGGCTCAGGACGCCCACCCAGAGGGTGAAAGGTGTGAACCTACAATTTTCATTTCCCCCCCCATGGGTTTTCCACAGGTGATTTCAGATCGATGCAAAGCCGCCTTCAGAATGAGTTCCGCAAAACGCCGAGTGTTCCTCTCCCCCACGCCGAAGGTAAAAATTTCTCAAGAAAATTGGAACCGCAGCAGGGGAGGAAAAATAAGAAAAGCGGAGAAGTGACAAATGTTTAACCGTATTTAGCGGTGCGGTTGCTGCTGTTGTACTTCGCACCTCTGCCCACGAGAACCGTTTGCCCTCCAGAGCTGCAGAGGAAAATGGAAAACATGCAATGGGACGGTTGACTGTTTTTTTCTCACTTCAGGTGTGCACTGGAAACTCAACCTTTTTTTTAAAAAAAAAAACACACCAAAACCCACAGGCTTCCTGCCTGCAAATTCTTCTTCCCAGTTAACTCTGTGTTGCCCTTGAATGCGCTTTCTCTAGTTCCTGACCTTCTTCTGCCATTTCCAGTCATCTCAACGCAGCCAAGATGGAGGGAAACCGCTGTAGTGGATGATCAACAGATCTTAAAAGCCACTAATAAAATTCTTGTGTCCCCTGAGAAGTGGGACCGAAGACAGCTAGTGGGAGAGGATCGGTCTAAACTGGTGTTTCTCAACCGTGGCAACTTGATTGCAAGCTGGGGGATTCTGGGAGTTGGAAGTCCACAAAGAAAGTTGGCAACTTGAAGCTTTGTGGACTTCAACTCCCATAATTCCCCAGCCAGCCTTGGATTGTAGGCTGGGGAATTCTGGGAGTTGAAGTCCATAAAGTTGGCAGCTTGAAGCTTTATGGACTTCAATTCCCAGAATTGCCCAGCCAGCCTAGGATTGTAGGCTGGAGAATTCTGGGAGTTGAAGTCAATAAAGTTGGCAGCTTGAAGCTTTATGGACTTCAACTCCCAGAATTGCCCAGCCAGCCTGGGATTGCAGGCTGGGGAATTCTGGGAGCTGGAAGTCCATAACATTGGCAGATTGAAGGTTTGTGGACTTCAATGCCCAAAATTCTTGGCGTTGAAGTTCACAAAGCTTTAAGTTGCCACGGATGTGGTATCTGAAGCAGATAACTGAAAACCCATCTTAGTATTTATGTCTTCCTGTGGTATTTATTACACACTGGAATTCAAGTAATTGCACCTTGCAGAAACTATTAGCTGCATACCTGCATATCCGAAGACATTTATTAGACTCCTTTAGGGCTTGCAGGAAGTAACCTGCCCCAGACGCCGTTAAACCAGAATGTTGGTCCATGGGTTTGAAATCCTTTTTGTTTTTCTCTGGCTCGGTGAATTTTATATTGCCATCCTGAATTCTCAAATCTCCCTTGGCACTTAGGAGGCTGCTGGAAAAGCTTCCATTATATTGAGATGCGAGTTTACCCAAGCAACACTGGGTAGTTAATAATATCTTTATTCCCACATCCCTCATTAAAATGCACTTTTAGCTTCCTCTCCGGGCGATTAAGCAGAGCAATCTCTCTTTACTTTTTTTTTTCTCCAAATCTCCGTTTCCAACATTTTGGTCCTTCTAATTTTTCAACTTGAATTTCCATGCCCCAAAACTTGATTTTTCCCTGCAGTTCATTCGGAATGAAGTCATATTTTCTCCCAACTGCTGGCAAGGCCAAAATCAATAGTAATTCATATAAATGGAAATAGCCCCCCCCCACTCGAATGACATTTATTTTACAAGGGAGACACTGAACAATCTCGTTCCTGTAAACGCCCCATGATCTCACTGGAGTGGGATAAATAGCCAATGCAGCTTAAAATAGCCCCAGAGAAGACTTTGGTTAAGCAGCAACCGCTATCCAGTGGTACAAGAATGCTGCCGCTCCTCTAAAAATTTAAGATTTGCTTAATTTGCAAGATCAGGCTTGGGGGCTAAAGCAGAGGTTCCCAACCTTTTGGGCAACAGGGACTGGTTCTTTGGAGAAATATTTTTTTTTTAAAAAAAAGTTTTATTATTATTATTGTTTTTTAAACAGAGTTCAATCATAATTATTCAACAAAAACGTGTTGTCTGAGTATCTTATTCACCAATACAAATTAAATTCCTAATCCCTAAATCTTTTCTCTAACCATTCATAAAATAGGTCCCACGTTTGAAAATAGTCTGTTTCTCCTTTTTCTTTCAACCTTCAAGTAAGTCTGTCCATTTCCGCACAGTCTAATATTTTTTTTATTATTTCTTCTTCTGGTGGTATTTCTTCGTTCTTCCAATATTGTGCAAATATAATTCTTCCCGCTGTTATCACATGTAGAATTAAATATGCACTTTGCTTATCAGGTTTTTCTGGCATTGTACCTAGTGAAAAAAAAAATCAGGTTTATAGTCTATGTGTTTCTCCGGGAGAGAGATCATTTTCACGGACTGGAGGCGAGGTGGTTTCGTGTGCTGCCTGCATCCTGCGGATGGGGCTTTGCTTGTTTGCACGGACCAGTTTCTGGCCTGCCGTGGACCGGTGCCGTCCATGGACCAGGATTTGGGGACTCCTGGGCTAAAGCAAATAAGCTTAACCATGTAAGCCCGTGGTGGCGAACCTATGGCACGCGTGCCACAGGTGGCACGCAGAGCCTTCTCTGTGGGCACGTGCGCCATTGCCCCAGTCCTAGGCCTTCAGTTGGATTTTATAAAACTTTTTTTCTTTAGGCCTCCGCTGCCGTGTGCAAAAAAAAAAAGTTCAATCAATCAATTTCAACTTCTCATGGAAAAAAAAGATCTCGCAAAGTTGGAATTGATTGAACTTTTTAGTCCCACCCTGTCTGCCGTTACCACTGCAGCCACGCCCACCCAATGGGCCACACCTACCCAATGGGCCATGCCCACCCAATGGGCCATGCCCACCCGGCACGCAATGATACATAAGTGGGTTTTGGGTTGCAGTTTGGGCATTCACCGCTTCTGGAGGCAGGTTGTTCCACTGGTTAATTGTTCTAACTGTTAGGAAGTTTCTCCTTAGTTCTATCTAGGTTGCTTCTCTCCTTGATTAGTTTCCACCCGTTGCTTCTTGTCCTGCCTTCAGGCGCTTTGGAAAATAGCTTGACTCCCTCTTCTTTGGGGCAGCCCCTGAGGTATTGGAACACTGCTATCATGTCCCCCCTCGTCCTTCTCTTCATTAAACTAGACATTCCCAATTCCAGCAACCGTTCCTTATATGTTTCAGCCTCCAGTCCCCTAATCATCTTTGTTGCTCTTCTCTGCGCTCTTTCTAGAGTCTCAACATCTTTTTTACATGAAGTTCACAAGTCTTAAAGTTGCCAAAATTGGACACCCCTGTGGAAGNATTCCTAACAATTTGTTTCTCGTGATACAAAAACTTAATACATCATCCTTAACCTCTATATACACCTCATTCTTCTACATAATACAATTATATATACAATTATATGTACAATTATGTGTATGTTTCAATCCTATCGTTAGCTTAAGATCCGAGCAGTTCTCCTTGATTCATACCAGCGGTAAAATTTGTCCCAGATTTCGAAATATTCCAGTTCTGTCTTATCTTTATTAAAGAGTGGTGGTGCAGTGGTCAGAAGGCAACATTGCAGGCTGACTCTGCTCACTGCCAAGAGTTCGATCCTGACCGGCTCAAGGTTGACTCAGCCTTCCATCCTTCCGAGGTTGGTAAAATGAGGACCCAGATCGTTGTGGGGAGGGAGGCTGACTCTGTAAACTGCTTAGAGAGGGCTGTAAAGCACTGTGAGGCGGTGTATAAGTCTATTGTTATTGCTATTATTCTGAACAGTCTTTGTGGGAGGTTTCACCAACTTTTGTTTTTAAACTTTCAACCGACTGTTTCTGGCCGATAAGACATTCTGTTTGTACTCAAAGCGAAAGGAATTGAGCAAGCTTTTTACCTTATCTCTCTCTTTTTAGCTTATCTCTCTCTTTTTAGCTTATCTCTCAACTGGTGAAGGTCAATCCCGTGCTATATGCAACGTTTGTTCTCTGTTTGAATTCTAAATCCATCATTTAATCATTTCCATCCTCTTGACACCGGACTCGTGTAATTTAATTGAGGCAGAGTTCTCATCTAATAGTAGCCAAAGTTGAAATCCGTAGGGTTCAGAAACCCAAGGTTAAAAAGTAACACTCACGCTAAATGTGACAGGGTTATCATCTGCACACTTCTGCGTCTCTTTGATTGTTTGTAACCTTCCATTGAGCGAAATAGTGCATCATAGGGCAAAAAAAAAAGGGGATCAAAGAGCCACCGGGTAGATAAAAGGGAGATAGCCAGGAGACTTGGGGAAATACGAAACTTATGAGCCTCCTGCTCAGGAAAAGACAGAATCTTTTCCATTTCCATGAGAAGATAAGTAGGACACTTGAAATCAACCCTGATTAGAAAACAGTGTCTTGTTGCAGGAATTGTGTATGTCTAGTCTAGTGAAAAGAAGGACTATGATATGAAAGCAGCGTTCCAATATCCAAGGGGCTGCCCCAAAGGAGAGGGAGTCAAGTTATTCTCCAAAGCGCCTGAAGGCAGGACGAGAAGCAATGGAGGAAAACTAATCAAGGAGAGAAGCAGCCTAGAACTAAGGAGAAACTTCCTGACAGTTAGAACAATTAACCAATGGAACAACCTGCCTCCAGAAGCGGTGAATGCTCCAACACTGAAAGTTTTTAAGAAGAGACTGGACAGCCATTTGTCCGAAATGGTATAGGGTTTCCTGCCTGAGCAGAGGGTTGGACTAGATGACCTCCAAGGTCCCTTTCAACTCTGTTATTCTGTATTCCTGAAGCTTTCATAGTAAACTTTTGCTTGCCCTTCTGAACAGGTTGAAAATGATAAAGAAGCTTTTGGAATTTTGGAGAACAAATTTGAACCTGTGTCCGCTGAGCAGGAATTGCGTTTCGCTACCTGAAAGAACTGGTTTGATTTTCGATCTCTCTGGCCAGAGGGGTTGAACTGGTTGTTTCCCCTCAACCCCCACTGTCCATTCCATTCCCAAACTGGGTGTATTTTCTTTCAATAAATGGGCTGGAAGATTTTTGGGAAGTTGCGGTAAACATGCATAGTTATGAATGGTCATTTGAGTTTCTGTAGGAAATGACTTCAATCACACCATTCATCCTTGTACTCAGTGGCACCATCAACCCATTCCTGTATCCCAGAAAATGATGTCCGGCCACTTGGCCAGGATGGACAGGAAGACAGGGCAGCCAGATTTAAAGGGAAAAGAAAACATGAATCAGGATGTATTCCTCGAAAAACCAGAAGTGCAAATTGCTTATCAAACAAAATAATTTCCGTGAGAATTCAGTGTCCAGTTGGATTTGAAATAAATTAACATCTATAGCTACAGATGATTATAAATTATCACCACCAGCTGGATAAAGTGTCGTAAATATCATTATGATAATGAGCTGGCAAATCTTCAACATTATGGCATTATTCATCGGCTAAATGATCATAAATATAACAATCTGCTGGAGCAATTACCTCCATGACTTCTGCAGAAATGCAGCCTTTTACAGAACCAAGAATACAGTTCTTGCATTAGTTAAGAAAAGTAATTCTTAGATCCTCCCTTTATTTTGCGCAACTCAAAGTGGTGTACTGGATGCTCCCACTCCCTATTTTCACCACCACAATAACCCTACCAGGTGGATCAAGATTGACCTAAAATCTCCCAGCTGGCTTCTGTGCTTAAGGAAAATCTGGAACTCGCACCCTTCTGCTTTCTAGGCCAACTCTTCTTTTTAAAACTATTTTTCCAACCTGATCCAGCTTTGTCAGCTGAGAAACGGTGACTCCACCTAGTTTTAGGAAAAGAGGACCAGAAGCAAGCTGCTGAGTTCTGAACCATCATCCGTTCGTGTCAGGGAGTGTCAGCCAATAATCAGATTGTGAGAATCTGGTTAACTCCTGCTTCTGCTTTGTTCTCTGTTTCCCCTGGATTCACCCCCGATATCCTGCTCATCCCTTGTTTTCAGTAATCACACTAGCTTACACACTGCTTACAATAATCACACAGCCATCTGTCATTCATCACAAGGTCAGGAGACCTTGCTTGGAAAGATGGAAAATCTGATGTTTCCCGTTGCAGCCTGAAAACACAAGACTGAGCGTGGCATGGATTAGCCTCTCTCACAAGCCTTCTTCTTGCAAACTAACTAACCAACCAACTAACTAACATCTGAGGATCAGCTAGCCATCAAGGTCAGGTGATCAAGGTCAGGTAAGAAAAGAGCAACAAAGATGATAGAGTGGAGGATAAAACATACGAAGAACAGTTGCAGGAATTGGGTATGTCTAGTCTAGTGAAAAGAAGGACCGGGGTGACTTGATAGCAGTCTTCCAATATTGAGGGGCTACCACAAAGAAAAGGGGGGTCAGCCCATTCCCCAAAGCCCCTGAAGGCAGGACAAGAAGCAACAGATGGAAACTAATCAAGGAGAGAAGCTGGAACTAAGGAGAAACTTCCTGACAGTGAGAACAATTAACCAGTGGAACAACCTGCCTCCAGAAGCGGTGAATGCTCCAACACTGAAAGTTTTTAAAAAGAGACTGGACAGCCATTTGTCCGAAATGGTATGGGGTTTCCTGCCTGA